GTTAGTATAAGTTATGTGCTTTCCCACAGACAAGAAACATGGTATTTTACTGCCTCCCACTTAGAGATTTCCTGTGAGCTCCTAGAAACAGAATCAAAAGGTTAGATTAGAAACTGCCCTACCCCCAGCTTCTGTTCTGGTTGGTTGTTCCTTCTGGATGGGTGGGTCCACGGCCTGCTTTAGCTCATTAGTTGTCAACAAAGATAAGTGTTACCAGGGGTTACCAAGCAAGGCGCTGGGGATCCAGTATAAGCATGCCTGTTTTCTTACAGAAACGTGCCAACACTCTCTCTCACACACAGAGTCAAAGACACAAAAGCAGAGGGCAAAGCTGTTCGAGAAGATTTATTTGATCCCAAAACAGACACAAGAATTTCTGCCTGGGAGATGCCAGGACAGGGATTGTGCAACAGGATGAGGAGATATGTGGAAGGCCTATGTGTACTTTTAATGATATTTTTAGACAAAAAGAATTTAGAAACAAGGCAGACCATTCTTCTCGAGTTGAAAATACATCTACCGTGCTCATTTAAGGAGGAGATAACCCTGTGTCCTTTAATCATCATCTGATGTTTAAGCAAGTCTGTTCATGCTCACATCAGAAATGTTTCCAAGAAGAAAGAATTACAATTCCTAGATATCATTGTCGGGCAGTATGAAAGGGAAAGCACATCCGTTTGTTAACATGTTTGAAAAATTATAGTAATTGCCAAGTTCTAACACAGCAAATAACACCAAACAACACTGAAACTTTTTGTTCTTTTCTTTAGTTCTTTGCTTTAACAAGTGTCAGATTTATAGTTAAGGACTACTTTATAGTTTGTTGACAGTAACTAATACTTTTCCCTTTAATTGCTAAAATCAATATATATATTAATAAAACATATTGTTCCTTTGCTTTGCATTAGTTAATGAGACACTGTATTATTAATGCAGAGACAAAACAAGTATATGCCAGTCTTATAGTCATTCAGCATAAAACAACAGACTGATACAAAAGTTGACAGACACAGTAAGCCCACACAGCAGTTTCAGATGACACAATCCTCCATTCATTGTCATCTCAGTGCTGTAAGTATATTTAGACACAGGGGGGTGCTGTTCTCCAAAGCCCTCCCCTTTTAACATGTTTGTCATGTCTTGTGGTTAGGACTGCTTTATCTGAGAAGTATTTAGAAGTGTCTGGATTAACTTTAATGGGTACTGAACTATCAGCTAATCGATATAATAGTGTGTGTGTGTGTGT